AGACTCTGAATCAGCAGGTCTGGGGGGGGCGGTGAGGGTGGAGAGGGGGAAAGCGAGGTGCCTCATTTTAAGCAAGCCCCCAGGTGATGGGGAATCTGCAGGTCCCTGGACCAGTTAGAGGAGCAAGGAAGCTGAATGTGAGAAGCAGGGCAGGGCGCCTGCTTTCAGGCAGGGCTGACCGACCTGTCCGCTTCCTTCATCAAATTCCCAAAGTGAAAATGCCTTATCTGCCTCTCAGGCATTGACCTTCTATTCAGGCCTTTGCTCAGACAAATATTCACAGGCTTGAAGATTTCTCTTTAGCTTTAGATTTTTCTTTTGACCAAAGGGGCCCCAGTTACAGCAAGGCACACATATTGCTGTCCATAATCTGACAAGCTTGTTAAAGGATGCAGGCTCCTGGGCCCCATCCTGGAGATTCTGATTCTGTTTGTCTATTTTATTTTTATTAACACACCCTCTGGGTATCTTCTGATGTACACTCAGATTTGGGATCCTCTGCTTTTGGCTAAAAAGCCCCAGCTGCTTCCACCTCACACGTGGCATTTCCACACCGTGCAGTCTGTGGACAGCACCTTCCCCCACTCCCAGGAGAGAAGTGTGCATTCTAGCTCACAAAGGAGACCCCTGCCAGCCCCAGAGCATCCAAGTCAGCGCACGGATGTGTTTGGAATGGGAAGCGGACGTGAGCGCTACTCAGAATTAAGCATATACTCTTCTCTCTTCTATCAGGTAGGAGATCGCAAATGAAAATAGAAAGGTCAGCATCTTAGGAACAATCAGCACAGGACTAAAACTTGCAGCAGATGGGTAGCGAGCGAGGGAAGATGTGGACATTCAGGCTAACAGCGATGACACTGCTAACTCTCCCACGGGACTCTGGCCATCATTTTGTCCTTTGCAGCTCAGTTTTGCCTCAAAATGAATCAAAAGTGAATCTTTCCAACCATAACAATAAGCCGGTTTCACACATAATGGACACCAGATAAATCCTTTTTGAATTGAGCTAAACTGAATCAAAGCTACTATCCAAGCAGTGGTGGACCTACGAAAACAAACAAAACACCACAAACCTGTTGAGAGACAAGAATTCTTTTTAAAAAAACCCCAAATTTTATAGGAATTTCGTGAGATTCTGCATCGTGGAGGAGCAGAAGGGAATTAAGGAGGAAGAGGGCAAGGTCTAAGTTTGTTTCAAAGAGGGAGGAACTTTCATTCTTTAGGAAGAAGAGAGAATTGTTAGGAAACACAGCAGGGCAATGAAGGGCCACGGCCTGCTGTGAACGTCTCCTGGTCTGACTGTTTCAGGGAACTACTTGCAAAGCTAGCTGGATTCGCTCCAGATGGCCGCAGTGGTGTGGTTGTAGAAAGCAGTCAAAAATATCCCTTGGGTTTGAAGACACCAAGTCTGTATCCCCGGGAGAATGGTGCAGCAGGCTGGGAGGGCCTGGGAGCTGGGGGACCACAGAGCTGAGGGAGCAGCTGGAGCACGGTAGAGCCCATAGTCATAGTCACTTTCACTCAGCCTTTCTCAGCCCACCTCTGTAAGAGACTTAAGCTTCGGAGATACTTTCTGGGGGACTGTTTTATCAATCCTTCCCAGGATGGTACATAGCTAGTGCCATGATGCACTGGAGAGAATCTGAAGGAGAGATCCCAGCAAAAAAAAAAAAAAAAAGCATCCGGGAAGTGTGAATGCTGTCCCTGACTGGCTTTAGGGCAGTCACCTCGCTGCAGAAGCTGATGAAAAGAGTGGGACAGTGATCACACGGGAGTGCAAAACGTAGGTCAAGTTCCAAGAAAGAACCTTAGCAGTGATGGGCCAAAGAGGAAGCCCGAGGCACGGGGCAAAAGATTTGGTTTTCTATTTAGTACTTAACTGAGTATTTCAGCCCATGCAATACACACACACACACACACACACACACACACACACACACACACACAGTCCCAGCCTTAAGGGGAAATTGGCCACGGGTCCAAGAGAGCAATCCCAGCCCTAACGCCTGACTTCCATTCTGTTCCCTAGAAAACCAGCTCCGCACATAGACTGGACCTGTGGGGCCCCTGCAGGCTCTGTGTCCAGGAAACCCCACCGAGCTCCCTGATCCAGGGAGGCTACTGTGACAGGCATAGCCAGCAAGGCACCCACTCCCAAGGAACCACCTAATGAAAGCCTCATGTGTTGACTCGGGCTGCACACACACTCTCAGGCTAATTCTAGCTGGGCTTCGCGCCGAAGGTATGACCTCACCGTCGGGAAAACCAGGGACCCCAGAAAGAGAAGACTGGTGTGTGGGCCAGACCTGCTCCTAATCATAGCCGACTGGGATGGACGGAGACAGCCACCTCTCCTGAAGCCCCTGAGGACCAGGGGTCAGGGCCTGTGGGCCGGGAGGCACAGACATCTTACAGCTAAGAGTCCTCAGTTCTGGCCCAAGCACTCCTTTTTTTTTGGCATCATCCCCATAAAAATCTCTACCATTCCACAAGGTTCACGCCAAAGAGAAGTTTAATTAGGTAGGGCCAAATCTCTGTGGAGAATTCTCAGTTACAGAAGCTAGGAAGGAAGGATATAATTAGAACCTGACTTTTTAAAAAATAGAACAGCTCAAAAGACCCCCATTAAGAGAAAGACACTGAAAAGCACCGTTCAGAACCTGGTACCCCAGAAATTTCACTTAGCATCATTCACAAACCATGTAAAGACCCACATTTCAGCCCCAGACTGGCTATTTTTCATGTAGCTCTATACTCGTAGGCATTTAATAAATTGTGTCGGCAATTCCTCTGCCTACACAGCAGCACTGTTTTCAGATGTTCTGTATTAAATCTTTTGTAGGCAACAGAACTTCGAGGAAGCTGTGCTTCAAAAGTAAATAAATGTGATTTTACCTGATGTGGTCACCGTGAAATAGAAAATGACTCGGGCTTTTGTTAAAGGAACGAAGAGAAATTCTCTGCAAGATCTGCTTATAAATTCTGCCTTCAGGCATTGGTAGCTGAGTATAAGTTGCAAAAAAAAACCCAACCTGGTGAAATATGAAGTCTCTTAAATTGCATCCCATACGGAGCGTTTGCCTGAGTCCTGATGAGCCCCTTAAATAACCATCGCATGAGATCCCTCGGGACTCCAAGGCCTCAAGGAATCAGGGAAGATTTGGAATAATGTAAAAATTCCTCATAAGCGGGGGAACATTGAGTGATACACAAAGAACAAGGATTGACTCTGATGAAGACCCGTCAGTCTCCTAAGAGTTACTCTCCAACAATAGCTCCCGCTTGTTTTTTATTAAATGTTGCTAATTCCATTTGCTTTTAGTCCATTTGACTAGGTTTTATTATACTAGTTGTGGGGAGAATCAAAGCACAAAACCTCAAAGAACTTATATACTTATGTTCATAGCCCACGGACAATAGTGTGGTGAAGGCCTATGGGGGACTGAGGGGGTAGGGGCTGGTGGAGAGGGGAGAAGGAGGGGGAAAATGGGAGACATCTGTAATAAGGTCAACAATATATATATATTTTAAAGCACAAAACCCTTAGTTCCATATACAGATGTATATATTAAAATGTTTATTATTTTAAAGAGAAAACTTTTTTTCTGGAAATGTATCTCTGAAATAATGATGGGAGTCAATGGGAAAGCGGTTTTGTTATACAGTATGTGCTTTGCTCGAGCTTTTCAGAAATACTTCTAAAATTCAAGAAAGGTCCAGTCAAGCCTGCAAAGACAAGACAATTCACAATCCATCAAAGCTGCAAGGCCAAGACTTGGTCTGCTCACACAACCGAACATCCTGATACAGTATCTCTGTCCTGAACTGGAAAGGGACTGTCCATTGTTGCACCTGGAGGTCGGTGCTGTGGTTCACTCACCACATGGTCACCCAACTGTCCATCTTCCAAGTTCCACAGGATACTAGCAGAGAGCCCCATTCTTCCAATTAGCCTGCAGCTCAAGCAAACATCTCCCTACAATGGCCTTGGTTCAGAAAGACTTCTTGGGCCCCTTCTCTGCTTTCTTTCACGTGGTCTATACGTCATGTTCCACCAAGAGTCCCAGCAGTCCACCACTATGCACCCCTTATGCCTGGAATCAAGCTGCTTTTCAGAGGGGTAAGTATATGTATTAACAAGAAATAAGTAAATAAGAAGGCTCCTCCTTGGATGTTCAGCTCAGGCAGGTATAAATGTCAGGAGGGTCACACTAGTTTGGGATAGACTTGCAGGGTTTTAGAGTGTGTGTGTGAGGGTGGGGGTGGGGGGAACCTTAAAGATTATCTAATACAATGAAACTCTTTTACCCAGTATGTAAAACAGAGAGAAAAGAAGCTGTTATAGCCACACAATAAAATATGATTTGGCCATAAAAGAGACAAACGAAGTATTGACCCGTGCTGCAACATGGATGAACATGCGAGCATTATGTGAAGTGAAAGAAGCCAGTTACAAAGGCCCACATGCTGCACGGCTCCATTTGTGTGCAATATCCAGAAGAGGCGAATCCAGAAAGATCAAAAGCAGGTTAGTGGTTGCCTAAGGCTGAGGGGGGCTGAGGAGTTGGGGGTGATGGCTAGGAAGCACAGGGCTTCTTTTTGGAGTGGTGAAATGTTATAAAATTGATTATAGCATTGGTTGCACAAATTTGTGCCACAGGTTAAATGGGTGAATTTTATGATGTGTGAATTCTATCTCAATAAAGCTGTTTAACACACACACACACACACACACACACACACACACACACACAAAACAACCTTGTTCTCACTGTTCTGCCAGCCAGACCTCCCTCGCCCTGTTTCCTCTCATGGCCCCAGAACCAGCTCTGTAGGCGCCTAGAGCTGAATGGAATGATCTAGTCCAAGTTTCTTCTCCTCAAATGTTAGCCAAGACATAAACCCACATCTTTTAACTCCAAGTGCAGGGCCCTTTAAATCAAAAGTCTCGCTAATGAGTGGAGGCTCATCTGGGGAGAGGCTGCTGGCCAGGGTCTCACCGTCCATGTCCAGGCGCTGCATGATGATGGCCAGCTCCACCTCACTCGGCATGTACCCCAGAGAGCGCATGGCCATTCCCAGCTCCTGCTTGGAGATGAAGCCATTCCCATCTCGGTCCAGAACCCGAAAGGCCTCTCGGATTTCTACAAGAAAGCAAAGAAAGTCCAATGGTCATGTGGCTTGGTCTATAGCATTGAAATTATCAGTGATTGTCTACTGAAAATTCCTATTTTACAGATAGTGATATGTTAAAACCCTTTATTTCAATAAAAGAATGGCCAAAAGAGGAACCCAAAAAAAGGAAGAAAGAGAAAATGAAAGAAAAAAGGGGTAGGAGGGAAAAGGGACAGGAGGAGAGGGGAGGAAGGAAAAGTGCTGTGGACAGAGGAGGTAACTGGCCCTGCGCATCCTAAAACACTGTGGTAGGTACACAGTTAGACAGTGGTCCCAGCAGAGATCACGTTAACCAAGGACACCTCCTGAGCAAGGATGAAGATGAGGCTTCATCTGTGAGGAGAAAGGCTGCCTCTTAACCTTGGCCATCAGGAGGAAAGGAGAATGAGATTCCTATACAGACTTACGTCCGGCTCCCTGCTGCTGCAGGAGCTGTGCAGAGAGGTTCTCAACCTCATAGTAGGATAGGAGTTAAGTATCCTGCTGTTTTTATTTCATCCTGTAATTTACAGTTGTTTTATGGCTATAAACAACTTCAGATCGATAGGAGTGTCATAAAAACCCAAAAAACATCTTTAATCACATTCGCTGGGGCTGGCAGAGAATTTGACTCTGCTATCAACAAGGCCATTTCCCTCCGGCAGGGGGTCTCCCATCCTCCTACCCCAACCGGACTTGCTCTGCTTTCCACCCAGAGTGCCTCCCTCCAGAGCCCGTGTGGCGCTAGTTCTGGGTTGGCTGAGCGTTTCCTAACACATCACAACCCTGTGAGGCATGACATGAATTCGAGATCACAGCCTGAAGATGGGACGTTCGTCCATCCATCGTCTCTGAGCACCAGACTTGGCCGGCTTTGATTTTTCATCAGTAAACCCAGTGCAAGCCCAGGGAGGGCAGCTGCCAACCTTCGTTCGTCATGTCACTCAACAAGTACTGGCTGTCTGTACCGCAGAGAAATAACCAGCACCTGCTGGGGGTCCTGGTGCTCCTTCAGAGCCCGACACTCCAGTCGGGAAGGTGAGAGCCACACAGAAACTTGCAGGAACTCTTAAAACTATTACAGGACACTTGGCCCTAATCCATTTAGTGTCCACTTTTCTAAATATCTGATTGCTCCCAGCAGATACCTTGAACCACACCCTTTCCTACATAGGCTCTGCCCTTTCCTAGTTACATTAATTTCCTGTGGCTTCTGTAACACAATTTGGTGGCTTAAAACACCAGAAATTTATCTCACTCTGAAGGCCAGAAGTCTAGAATCGGTATCTTTGGACCAAAGTCAAGGTGTGGACAGGGGCCCTGGAGGCTCTAGGGGGGATTTGTTTTTGCCTCCTTCCACCTTCCAGTGGCTGCCAGCATTCCTTGCCTTGTGGCCCCATCACTCCATTACCTGTCTCTGTGGTCACACTGCCTTCTCCTTTTCTGTCTGTGATCTCTCTCTGCCTCCCTCTGATAAGGACCCTTATGTTTGCATTTAGGGGCCACCAGGCAATTCAGGATAATCTCCCCATCTGGAGATCCTTAACTTAATTACATCTGCAAAAACCCTTGTGCCAAGGTAGCAATTACAGGTTCCCGGGATGAGCACCTGATACTTTGGTGGTGGGGGCTGTTTATCAGACTGCTGCACTATCCCACCCAGTTCTTTCACCTGACACACCCTGCCTTCCTCTTTACCTGCCAAATCAAATTAGTCCTTCAAGGACAAGTCAAGGACAAGCTGTGGAACCCACAAAAACATCTTTGCTCACTACAGCCAAAGTCATCTCCCTTTCTGTCAACCATTCGGTAGGCCGTTCATTACTTTCACATAACATCTAGATGACCCATCTAGAAATAAGATGACTGGTGTAGAAACCAGGGCTTCTCCTCTAAGCTCCTCATACACTTCATTCATCTTTGTATGTTCCCACCCACACTCAGAAGGAGGCGCTAGACAGACAGCTGTTCAATGGATGGTGGGTCTAAATAAATTAGGATCATACTTTGGTAGCAAATCCATCACCGATACCAATTCAGGACGCTGAATGCTTTCTGCTAATAAATGTGGGCTCCAGCAGAGACCAGACCAGCCAGTGAGTCAGGACCCTGGGCTCCTGGCCAGGTGGATTCACTAATTAAGTTTGCAGCCAAAGCCTGAGGCCTCAGTTTGCTCATGTGTAAAATGAGCTGGTTAGCCACGAGGATCCCTAAGCCCTTCTTTCTGTAGATCGGTGGACATTGTTAAAATGTTTAAGAGAAGAACAGGAAGCTGTGTTCTCTTTCATACCCTATTAATCTGTTGTTCAAATGCTCGTTTTTCCATTGACGATATAGAAAAAAACTTTAGTCCACTCCAAATTCTGAATCAAGGCGTTTGTCTGCTCTTTTAGGCTTTCTCTTCAACAAAACCTGCCCAGGATTACCTACAGGGGCCATATGTTTTCCTACCAAGTCTTTGGCGGCCTGAGAAGAGCTTAGTGCTGCTGCTCAGCTTGAGGTCATGGCGCACGGTGCTCAAGGACACTGTGACAGAGACCGTGGCCTCACCTGAGCCCAGATCCCAGAAACCAGGGGCAGGTGGATGCGGAGACTGAGTCCCTGAGGTGGGAGTGAGCACAGGAGGAAGTCTGTCTGTCTCTGAAACAGTCTCCGCCCCCATCGGTTTCCCCATCTGAAAAATAGGTTGGGCTGGGTCTCCTTCTGGCTTTTATAGCAGGGTTTACTCGGGGCTGACTTGTACTATGCAACAGTAGGAAATGTCAGATGATGGCAAGGGCTCTACCTGGGGTCACAGAAGAGGCCAGGGTCCCAGGTGGGCCAGCTGGAGGGTCAGCTGCAAGCAGAGCCCTGCCCGTGTCCTCTGGACCACTCCCTTCCCCAGGCGCCATCTCCACTTCCCACCCCTCAGATTCCAGCCTGCACGCTCTGGGCTGTTGCTATCACTCAGAAAGGGTGATGTCCTCCTGTTGACAGGACGGGGCCTCATTCCTGTGCTCCCCCTGCATGCGCTAGACCTTTCCGACTAATGAGCCTGTTTCCTTACACTGGACACCCCGGAGGGGCCTGGTTGCGGGTGTTGGAGAACTTGGTCTGGAAATGAAGGCCTTGGCGTGTGTGCCTGCTGATCCCCACCCAGCTCTTGGGCTACTCCCAGAGTTGCCTCACCCCGAGGCTCCCGGATTTGGTAAGGCAGACCAAAGATGGGGTCACCCCAGCACTTGCCCTGCTGTGAAGGGACATGCTCCTTCCAGGCCTCAAAACCCCGTGGTTGGTCCCATCTGCAGTGTGTAACCAGGCAGGCCCTGTCCCAGCCCAGCACAGGGCAGGCAGGCACATACTGGCTCAGAGTTTTGTTTTCTGTGGCCCCCAGGTAGGTTGGACAAAGCCTTCCTCCACTGTTTGCATAGAATGTCCGCTCCTGGCTCCCAGGATAAAGCTCACTAACTTAATTTCTTTCAAAATATCAGAGAGTAAAAAAAAAGTACGAAACTAGAAATCCATAATGGGCGCCTCTGGAGAGTTAGTGTAAGGGAAGCCCAGCCAAACGAGAAGCTTATTAGGAGGAAATGGGTCTTGCAGTCTGAGACATGTGATGTGTGCCTCATTTTATTTTTAATAGCGAACAGGGTGTGAGAAATATGCCCATAAAACCAGCGGAGACACTGGAGCAGGCCAGGTCCCACTGCCTCCGGCGGTAGGCGGCCTGCTCGCAGCATGGAGGGGCTCTGGCCGCTTTCCCACTGGGAAGTGGGAACCACAGATCGAGTTTTCAGAAACAACCCAGGAGTGTGGTGTGCTTTCCACAGGAACACATCCCCTCTTTGGGCTAACGCCCCTGGAGCAAGGGTGCTGTGCGTTTGGTTTTCAATTCAGTTTCCGGCTCACGCGACACATGCACAGCAGGCACCAGCATGGCCACCCTCACTCCCAAAAGGGGCGTCTGCGATGGGGATCAGAGCCTGCCCGACAGTCGCTGTGTGAAAGGAAACACGTGAAGGCACATCTTCTAAGAAAAGAAATCCGTTCTCTGCACATGGACTTTCTCAGAACCAAATCCGCATTCCCACAGGCATCCGGGCTTCTCCTGCCTGGAGGGATATGGTGGTCTGGAGCCAAACAAGGCCTGTGCTGGACATGGTCCTGCTCTAGAGCCCAAGAGATTACTTCTCATTACGCCAGTAAGTCTGTTTCCTTTCTTTTCTTTTCTTTTTAAAGAATAGTTTATTGATTTTTAAAGAGAGAGGGGGAGAGACAGAGAAACACTTATTGGCTACCTCCTGCACGCCCCCTACCAGGGATGGAACGCACAACTTGGGTATATGCCCTGACCATGAATTGAACCAGCAACCTTTGGGTGCACAGGACGATGCTCACCTATCTGAGCCACACTGGCCAGGGTGTAAGTCTGTTTTCTGAAAGATATCCACACCCACCACTGGTACCATCTGTATCCTGACCCAGTGCCCTCTGAGCACCAGCTCTCGGTTCTATAATGCACCCTAGGGACACAGGCAATTGGAGCAATAACAACAGCAAGGACACACCTAGCATACAGAACAGACTCATCAATCAGGCTGCTGAAGGGAGTGTGCAGCAGATGAAATCCAGACCTCAGCCAGAGCCAATATTCACTGGCTCACGTCTGGCTTTGAAGACTCGGCTGAAATTCACAGCGCTAATGTGCAAACTTAGATCAGTAATGAAGAACAACAGTTTCTCATCCCAATCTCCATGACATGCAAAACCTGCTTATTCTCCACAGAAATGTATCATTAGGAAGACTGTAGGCCTAAAGCACAAAAAGAGATGGCTCTATTCACAAGATGAATTCCGTTGATGCACGTCATTGAGAAATTGCAACACTGGAGGTAGACGCAGTTCAGCAAGGCTAGGCAGGGCGGTTATTAAATAACAACACAAATGTACCAGGAAATAGAAGATACAAACTTGGAGGTCATTTTTTCAGAAGAAATAATAAGACAGGCAT